AGGTTATGTAGGCATGGACTTTTTTTGGTGAGGGGTACTGTAGGCTTAGAATTTTTCAAAATGAAAAAAAGATGATTTTTGCGATTTTCGAGCCGCCATTTCTCTGTAATATTATCTAACAATTGGTAAAGGCTTCATACCGATTCGGACCTGAAAAACCAACTTTTATAGTTCAAATTTTCGAATTTTCGGGTTTTTCCGATTTTGACCCGATTTTTGTGATTCAGGCCTATATGATATTTATACCCATCCATATGGAATTTTTTGAACTACTTTTTTTCAGTTTTTACGATCTCAAAAATTTGAAAAATGAGCCATTTGTGGTCAAAAAATGGCACCGTCGTCGTGCTTGTGCTTTTTGTCATTGTGTTGGCCCGTTTTCAAATCGTTATAGTTCCTTCTGAACTCTAGCTCGAAATGTGTGACTTATTTTTGGGTCTATGCAAACTTAGTACGCTGAGCTTGTATATCGAAAAATTCTCTATCGATTGATATAAATATCATCTAGAATTTTATGAGAAAAAATGCCTAGAAAACCTCAAAAACTGAATTTTGGTGTCAAAATTTCGGAATTTTCCGGTTTTTTCCATTTTTGACCCCATTTTTCTCTTACAAACCTACATGATATTTATACCGATCGATAGAAAATCAAATTCTCTGTCGATCGGTATAAATATCATATAGGGTTGTATCAGAAAAATCCGGTCAAAAATGCTCAAAAATTGACAAAAAATGTTGTCCATTGATTTTTTTTCTGGCTCCTTTTCTGAGCAATTTCTCTCATTCTAAACCTTTCTGACTCAGCTATCAGCCTCCTTTTCCAGGAGGCCCTCCTGGAAGTCTAAAAATAGGCCCCTTCTCCTAAGCTCCGCCCCTTTTCCCCTTTAACACCTGGACTTCAGTTTACACCACTATACGTTTCCTTTTGTTTTTTTTTGTTGGTTTTTTTCAGAATGTTTCCTTTTTTCTAAAAAAGGACACCTCTTTGTTCCTTCCATTTAGTTTTTGTTCTCTTTTTCTTTCCAAAAAAAAAAAACAATTGTCAGCTCTCGTCAAAAGACATTCCGAATGAATATTGGATGTGTCCTTCCCCATTTCCATCTGTTTTTGTTCATTGCTCTCTCTCTCTCTTTTTTTCTGACGGCTCCGTTCCATTTGTCTTCTTCCTCAGTCCGTCTTTTATTGCTTTGGAAATGGAGAATCTTGATTTCATTCTCTTTTTTTTTTTGGATTCCTGAATTTTTGAAGATTTCAAATTACGCAAATTAGCGTAGGATGTAGTGTAAAAAAAAACAAGAATAATTGCCACCTTGGGGGGTCGAACCCATCTATCAAATTTGGTAGTCGCGCGTGTTACCGGCTGCGCCATGCATGCAGTGGCGGCGCCGCGCCTTCTTTGGAGGTTACGCACAGGTGGCGCAGTCGGTAACGCTTCTGTCTATCAAGCAGACCGACCCTCAGGTTCGAATCCACCTGGTGTCAAAGTTTTTT